AACCCAGGCCGCACGCATGCCAGGCGAGTGCGCTACCGCTTGAGCCACATCCCCAGCCCAAAAGAAAGTCTTGATTCTTAAAATTGCTTCATTAAAATTGGTCTTTGTGCCTCCCAAACACTTTTTTCCATATTTATTCTTTTGGCAAATAGTTTAAGTTCTAGTATGTTACACTTCTGATTAGAGCCTCTGCCGTGGTATTTGAATGTAAATTGCTTTAAATTGAATCCCAAAGGAATTGAGGTGGATGAGTGGGCACATAGCTAATGAATATTGAAAGCTTCTTATGTGGGGTCCTGTGGTAGGGCTTTATGTATTACCTCACTTCATCCTCACGGTGGCGATATTAGGTAGGCATCATTAGCTCCATTTTATAGACAGAAAAGTAGATTTAGGCATTAGCTAACTTGCTCAGTTTCCCAATTAATAAATGATGGAGCCAGGAACATATATGGATCTGCTGAATCCAAAGCCCCTACTCCTTCCTATTAATTTCTCAAGTTTTCCTCCAAGCAATTGTTTCTGAGCGGCAGGTAGCATTTATTGTCTACTTTGAGCAGCTAGTTGAACAATAGACACTTTCTTCAACCCTCTTCTGTCTGGTAGTGGTTTTAATTCATCAGAAGTGAAAGTAGAGCTGGGCATGGTTGCTCTTATGCTCTGGAGGCTGAGGCTGGATGATCACAAATTCAAAGCTAGCCTCAGCAACTGAGCAAGATCCTATCTCAAAAAGGGCTCAGTGGTTGAATGCTCCTGGGTTCAAGACCTGTTTGGAATTGAGACTGCTGTTTAATCAAGCTGTTTGGTTAAGTTGACCATATTTAAGAGGGCATTACTAAACTATGATGTCCTTAATAATGCGTTGCATTCATTTCCTACCTACTGGAACCCAAACAAACTCTTGGTGAATGTACCTCTTGTTTTGGAACCCCAGACTGTTAGCTTGGAGAAAAGCAGAAGTAGTGAGAGCCTATTTTCCTAAAGCTGATCTGCATGTGATATCATTTTTAATAGTTAACACTCATAATTCTGGATCATTCCTCTTTAAAATGTGGTGCCTAAAATGGTTTACTTTGGTACAGCAGATAGTAGAAATATCACAGTTATATTGGCTTTTAGGGTAACTATATCCTAATGTTGGTTCACTGAAATTATTTAACTCAAATGCTAGTCTCTTACAGTGCCTTCCCTGGGCCCACATTCCCATGCCAAGTGACTGGTCCCTGTTTGCTTACAAATTTTCATAATCAGTAATAATGAATCTCACAGTATTGTAAGTTATTTGCTTCCTCCTGTCATGTGGGAGAGTGCTGTATGTATTCCAGGTGTCAGTCTGCTCGTACTGCATAACAAAATGCCATAGATTGGGTGGCTGAATGAACGAATTTCTTTTCTCACAATCCTGGAAGCTGGAAGTTTGGTATTGGCAGGTGTCGCTTTTACTCAGGCCTCTTGTATTTTTATATGATTATCTCTCGGTCATCTTGTATTTTTATATGGTTATCTCTCAGTCATATTGGCCTTATCATTTTTTTCCCCCTCTCTCTTTCTTACTGTCTTATGAGGCATGGTGGCATGTGCCTATAATCCCAGCAGCTTGGGAGGCTGAAGCAGGAGGATGGCATGTTCAAGGCCAGCCTCAGCAACTAAGTAAGGCCCTAAGCAACTTAGTAAAAGCCTGTCTCAAAATATAAAAAAGAGCTGGGGATGTGACTCAGTGGTTAAGTGCACCTGGGTTCAATCTCTAGTAACAACAATAACAACAGAAAAAATGTGTTTCCAAATGTAGTCACCTTCTGAAGAATGGTGGTTAGGACTTCAACATAGAAATTGGGAGGGGGGACACAATTGAGCCTGTAATACCAGTGGTGACTTCCCTCCCGGTTGACCTTGATCCTCATCAACACTGGCAATAGATAACACAGCTTCTCTGTCAGCCCCTACTTCTTCATTTTCTTCTTTTGTATATGAGACTTCATTCCACATTCTGCTAAAATTTTCATCTTTGATCATTAGTTTTGTCACACCATCCCCAGTTATTACCTGTGGGACGAACCGTAAGATCCCCTGCATGGGGTCTCTCCTTAGGCATAATGCCAGTATGAAAAGAGTTGGAACTCTAACTGCACGTGGAGCCATCTAAACAGCAAATGACTTTTCTTTACTTGTTCCTTTCTACAGGCATACCAGGTCACTCTGGTGCTGGGAGCCCTTATATTACCTGTTGAATAATTCATCCTAAAGAGGTGAACGTGCATGTGGGCATGTGTCCCGCCCAGATCTGGCATGTACTGACTATGATTTGCTTGTCACTTCCTGAGCACAGGGGAGATGTGCTTTCACTGTTGCTTTTTCTCCTCCAAGTTGTCATCCCTCAGAAGAGGGACAGGAAGGATACTACTGCTGGGAGAAAGAAAGTGGTGGAGGAAAGTGTCTGGTTCCCACTTTTGCGGAGGAATAAATATCACCAAGCAGGAAGCACCAAGTGGACAAAGGACAGGAGGAGTGTCAAGCTTAAGGACCCTGAGAACCATAAGCACAGTGAAGGTAAGAACTGTGGGTTGGGTTGGGGTTGTGGCTCAGCGATAGAGCACTTGCCTCACATCAACAAGGCCCTGGATTTGATACCTCAGCAACACATAAAAATAAATAAATAAAAACAAAGGTATTGTGTCCAACTACAACTAAAAAATAAATTAAAAAAAAAAGAACTGGGAGTTGGACCAGCACAGGGAAGGTATGTCCTCTTCCATGTGGCTAGTGACTCCATGTCATTCCATTGTTTGTGGGGGAATCTGTGAAAATATGGTCCTTCTGAATGTTGCCTGCCAAGCCTGGCTGATTATTTCAGCTGTGTTTTTTTTTTGTTTTTTTTTTTATGTTTTTAGTTCTTGGCGAACACAACATCTTTGTTGGTATGTGGTGCTGAGGATCGAATCCGGGCCGTGCGCATGAGCCACACCCCCCCAGCCCCTCAGCTGTGTTTTCTTGATGGGGAATTGGGAATTTCAGTGGACTTTGGACCTCTGCTAACCACAACCCATGATTCTTTGTTCATAGAAGTCAGGAAAGTAAATCATCCCACCAAACTAATTCTCATCTTTTTTTTTTCTTAATGGGATCTATGTAACTTTGTGTGTGTGTGTGTGTGTATGTGTGTGTGTGTATAGTGGTGCTGGGGATTGAACCCAGGACCTTGTGCATGTTAGGCAAGCACTCTACCAGCTGAGCTATATCCCCAGCCCTACATCTATGTAACATTTTAAATGGTATTGCTTCCAAAGCAGTAGTTCTAGCTTGCTGTGGTGCACACCTGTAGTGCCAGCTACTTAGGAGGCTCAGGCAGGAGGATCACACATTTGAGGCCAGCCTGGGCAACTTCGTGAGACCCTGTCTTATAATGAAATAATGGGATCAGTGGTAGAGGGCTTGCCTAGCATGCAACAGGCACTGGGTTCAATCCCCAGTACAAAAAAAAAAAAAAAAAGACAATAATTCTTACCATTGTTATTTATTAAAATGTGACAGCAGCTGGGTGTGGTGGCTCTTGCCTATGATCCCAGCAGGAAGCTGAGGAGAGAGGTCATGAGTTCAAATCCAGCATCAACAACCACATGCACTAAGCAACTCAGTGAGACCCAATCTCTAAATAAAATACAAAATAGGGCTGGGGCTGGGGCTCAGTGGTCAAGTGCCCTCAAGTTCAATCCGATTCCCCCCCCCAAAAAAAAAGCAGCAGCAATACATTTAAAATTATTTCAAAGTAAAAAGTTATAATGGAAGTGAATTTTTGTTGTTGTTGTTAGTTTTGTTATAGAGACAGATTTATGAGGTAATTTCTCTAAAAGAAGTTTCGTCATTCTCTTTCTTTCTTTTCTTTCCTTTTATTTTCCCTCCCATTTCTGGGGTTTGAACCCTGGAGTTCTTTACCACTAAGCTACATCTCCAGCCCTTTTTGCTTTTTGAGACAAGGTCTCTAGAGCTACCGGGATTACAGGCCTGAGCCACTGCATCTGGCTACTATTTTTGTTGTTGTTTTTTGTTTTGCGGTACCAGGGATTGACCCCTGGGCCTCATGCATGCCAGACAAATGCTCCACTGCTGAGCCACAGCCCTAGCTCCTCTTTGCTGTATTTTAAAGCACCGAAGACACAGAGAGGACATTGTGTTGACTAAACCTGCCTCCCTTAGCCCAGTCAAGGAACAATGGGATTGCTATTGAAGCCTGGCATTATGGTATGCTACAAAGCCTTTAATGGACGTTCTTTTAGTGTCATTCTTTGAACTATTTGAATTCTATTTTTTACAAACCTTTTTATGTGATGGCTGAACCACCTGTAACTTTCAAACTGTTGGAAACCTGAATTTCAACAAAACTGCTACTGAACTAAAAACAGGTCTCAGTGAACTTTTTGCTAAAAATGATCTTGCAATTGTTGATGTCAGAGTTGGCTCCCCCAGGTAAGTGCCAGAAGATTAAGAATGTTCTTAAGAGTTTATCAGGGCTGGGGACATAGCTCAGTAGGTAGAGTGCTTGCCTTGCAGGCACAAGGCCCTGGGTTCAATCCTCAGCATCATAAAAAAAAAAAAAAAAAAAGAGATGCTGAGCATGGTGGCACATGCCTGTAATCCCAGTAGTTTGGGAGGCTGAGACAGGAGGATCGTGAGTTCAAAGCCAGCCTCAGCAAGAAGCAAGGTGTTAAACAAATCAGTGAGACCCTGTCTCTAAATACAATATAAACAATAAGACTGGGAATGTGTCTCAGTGGTCACATGCCCCTGAGTTTAATCCCTGGTACTCCTCCACCAACAAAAAAGGTTTATTAGCCCCAAACATACATTGGAGAAAAGATTCAAAAAATGGTGCTAGGAAAACTGGAAATCCATATGTACTAAAATTAAATTAAATTAGACCCTGTCTCTCACCCTGCACAAAACTCAAAGGGGATCAAGGACCTAGGCATTAGACCAGAGACCCTGCACCTACTCACCTACTAGAAGAAAAATTAGTCCAAAATCTCCATCCTGTCGGCTTAGGAACCAAATTCCTCAACAAGACTCCTAAAGCACAAGAAGTAAATTAAGAATCAGACTGAAAAGCTACTTTAGACAGCAAAGAAAACAAGAACATGAAGATGAAAACCTACAGAATGGGAGAAAATCTTTGCCACCTGCACCTCAGAGCATTAATCTCCAGGAAATATAAAGAACTCAAAAAATGTAACACCAAAAAAAAAAAAAAAAACAAACCCAAATAACCTAATCAATAAATGGGCAAAGGAATTGAACAGACACTTCACAGAAGAAGAAATATAGCTGATAAAATATATGAAAAAATATTCAACATCACTAGCAATTAGAGGAATGAAAATTAAAATCACAGAGATTTTATCTCACTCTAGTCAGAATGGCAGTTATCAAGAGTACAGATAACAATAAATGTTGATGAGAATGTGGGAAAAAATGTACACTCACACATTGCTGGTGGGAGTGCAAATTAGTACAACCACTCTGGAAAGCAGTATGGAGATTTCTCAGAAAACTTGGAATGGAACCACCATTTAATCTAGTTATCCTACTCCTTGGCATATACCCAAAGGACTTAAAATCAGCACACTACAGTGATGTAGCCACATCAATGTTTTGTTTTGTTTTAATATTTATTTATTTATTTTTTAGTTTTCAGCAGACACAACATCTTTGTTTGTATGTGGTGCTGAGGATCGAACCCGAATGCCAGGCGAGTGCGCTACCGCTTGAGCCACATCCCCAGCCCCACATCAATGTTTATAGCAGCTCAATTCATAATAATTAAGCTATGGAACCAATCGAGGTGCCCTCAATAGATAAATGGATAAAGAAAATGTGGATTATTGGCTATAAAAAAGAATAAAATTATGGCATTTTCCAGTAAATGGATGGACCTAGAGACTATCATGCTAAGTGAAATGAGCCAAACCCCCAAAACCAAAGGCTGAATGTTCTCTCTGTTATGCAGATGCTGATTCACCATAGGGGGGAGTGAAGGTTCACCAGATTGGACAGGGTGTGTCAGCGGGAAGGGAGGGAGGATGGGAATGGGAAAGACAGGCAAAAGAATTGAAAGAACTTTCCTGTGTTCCTATATGAATAGGCAACCAGTATAACTCCATATCATGTACAACCATAAGAATGGGAAGTTATACTCCATGTATGTGTGATATGTCCAAATACATTCTACTGTCATGTATAACTAAAAAGAACAAAATTTTTAAAAAGTGTGATATTTCACTGGGGTTAGTAGACTCCTTTCATGTCAGATCCTTTTTATCTGGTCTTGACTCTTGGGTGCGGTTTTATCTCAGAATACCCTTCATTGTTCAATAAATCCATTATATTGAACTTTGTGTCCTCATTTTCCCAACCAAACTATTAAAATAACTTCAAGAACTTCCAAGTCTCTGCAAACATATTTTCTTTCTTTCTTTTTTTGGGGGGCGGGGGGGGGGATTGACAAAGTCTCTCAACATGAATTGAAAGACGCATTTGGGATGCTTTTTGAATCAGATTAGCCAGCAGGGATGGCATGCATGTAAGGTCACTTGCACCTTATACTGATTTTTGTGTGTGTGTGTGTGGTGTTGGGGATGGAACCCAGGGGTTTGGGCATGCGAGGCAAGCACTCTACCAACTGAGCTATACCCCCAGCCTTGCACCTTATACCGAATAAGAATGTAGACCTGTTATAATGGAATTTCATTATGTTCTCACAAATCATTTATGCCTGATTTTAGAGAAGGAAAGAATAATTACCCAGCATTCTACCAGTAGGCATTAAAAAGAAAAAAATGGAGGCAGGTTAAGGGAACAGCCGGAAGCTTCTAGGAAAGTGTAGAGTTTCCTAGAGAAAAACTCTTCATACAGGATTGAAGACTGGAAGAATTCCTTCACAGATGACTTCAGTTCTCATTCTCTGGGGCTGACTTCAATACAGTCACTGAGGTGGTGGCTGTTTGTGTTACCGCTGTTGACCGGTGACGAGTTCTTGCTCCCCGATGTTGAAGAATAACACCAAAGAAGCACGCCGAGGCAAGGCCAGAGTAGAGATTAG